AGGAATCTCAAGCTCCCTGCAGGCAGTTCCTTCCCCTGAAAAAAAGGAAGACATTGAGCTATATCTGCCCACTATACATACCACTCATACTCTACCCCAAGGAAGGTGAGTGAATGAGAGGGTGAAAGAGGCCCCAACTATGGCTATTGCAAATGAAGTTTCCTCCACATGGAAAAACATCAGAAAGGGGATCAGGGCCCCTCTACACAGCCCTCACTCACTTCTTCATGCTGGCCACCTTGCCTCCTTTTAGTTCCTCATGCTCACCTCCTTCCAACTACAGGGCCATTGAATATAGTGTCCCTCTATTGGAATGTTCTTCCCTCACCCTTGACCCAGTTAAGTCCTGCTGATCCCTCAGCTCCCAGCTGGGACATCATATCCTTGGGAAAAACTCTCCCCACCCCCATTGCCCATTGCTACTACAAGATCAATCTACCATACCCCTATCCTTCATAAGACTTGTCACAATTGTATCCAATCGTGTGTGCCTGCTTAATTGACATCTTCCCAACTAGTCTGTAAGCTTCAAGAGGGCAGAGCCTGCCATGGGGCTTGACACATATAAGCATTTGATAAATATTTGCTGAATGACATGAATGAATTAATGAACAAATGCATCTTGGATAGAAGAAATAATACATGTGCACAGGCACAAATACACACATACATGCATGCAAGCCAGGGACTTCCTAGAGGGAGCTACTAAAGTCCAGGTGGTCCCTTATTCTCAAGGATGCTGCTACAACCAGCCAAGTTTCTGCATTCACAGTTGCACTCTTTTCCTTGGAAATAAGGAAATCTGCCTGCAACAAGATTAACAGGGAGCACTTTCAGAATCAACACTCTAGGAGAGAGAAAGAAGCAGGAGTACCCAGGGAGAACAACTGAATACAGTCATAACAGAGGCCTCCATGGAACCCATGGGATCTTTGGAGTTGGAAAGACACAGACATCTCTAAAACCAAGGTAGGGGCCTTCCCTTTGTAACCCTGTTGATTGGTCATTGGATGCAGGTTGTTCTTGAGAGAAGGGTATAGTCTTGGGTGAGGTGTTTCTGTTCTCCTGAGGACAATTTTCAGAAAAGAACTCATCTGAGATCTATTAGCTGCCAACATTCCCAGCAACTGAGGAAGGAGTGCTCAGCCCTGAAAGAGGAAGATGTGGGTGGAGCACAGTAACATCCACTACAAAGACCCACTCATGACCTGATTCCCATATCATGCATGGGCTTGACCTCTGTTTAGAGATTCTTGTTCATTAGTTGCTAAGTCACTTATCCAACAAAACTTCCTATAGAGTGACCACTGAGCTTTGTCATATCTATAAAAAATATCTAGGTTCTCCACAAGAGTTTATCTAAGAGTTCAGGAAGGACACTAATCATAAGACCTACCAGCTAGGCATTATCCCTGAGCCAGACATGATACTAAGTACTTTTGGGACTTATTTAATCCTTACATCACTCTGTGAGATTGATTATTTTATCCCCCTTTTACTAATGCAGAAAATGACTTGCCCAGGATCTCATAGTTCATAAGCAGCAAACTTAGGCCTGACTCCCCAGTTCCTGCCCTAAAACAATGTCTTCTAACTGTTGCCTCTGAGAACAGAAACTTCCTCCCACATTGTGTTTGTTGGGAATGCATGAAACTGCAAGTAACAGAAATTTTAACTTATAGTGGCAGAACGAATCAAGATTTAATTTCTACCTATTACAAGACATCTGGAGGTAGCCCACCACTGGGGTTGGTTTAGTGGATGGAGTATGTTGGGCTTAATGTCTCTGCAAGGGTCTTGGCCTTGTCCATGTTCTTGTCGCCTCATGGTTACAAAGAAGAGGAGTTGAACCTCTAGATACCACATCCATATTTAAGACAAGAAGCATGGAAATAGGTAGCATTAATTATGACTTTCTCTTCCTTTTAATGATGACTTTCTCTTCCTTTTTATCAAGAAAAAAAATAAAAATTTCCCAGAAACCATCCCCATGCCTCTTGTGTCTCATTAGCAAGAATTCTCATGTGGCCACTTTCACCCAAAGGAGACCAGGAAAGCATGTATTTAGCCTTTTGTTCGCTTTGTCGTAGCAGAAGGCAAGGTTTCTGGAGATAGAAACTCAATTGGCCAATCAGTCATATGAACCCCAACCACCTCAATCATCAGCCTGCTTTACAATCATTGTATGTGTAAGTGATGGTCTCCCTTTTAAGTCAAGCAGCAAAGACAGAAACTCCTTCTAATTTGTGTTTGTATCTCCAAAGTTTTGTGATATAGTTAAGTAGGTGGTCCATAAATACATGGTTTACAGAATTAAAGAACTTGTTCCGTAGCTCCTGCTCCACTGCAGACCTATAGGGAAGAGACCACAATGGGCCCTTTATCTAGTCATGGGAAGAATGTGCTTTTGGAATTTTCCAATGTGTGTAGGTTTCTGAACTAGGGTCATTCTTCAGAGCATTCTTAAGAAGTCCTAGAGTACAGGTCTAAGGAAAGGTGTAAGGAATTGTAGGGAAGCCTGACAAATTTTCATGCAGCCCAAGGTCTTTAATTAATAGAAATAACACAAGAGGCCTAATTCTATCCAATAGTTTCTCATGGTTAGGAATGGTCTTAAGAAAGTCACTTTACACATTTCAAGGCCCAATGTTCCCATCCTACTAAGGATAGTTCCTTAGAATTAGAAGGGACATTAATCTCACTTTTGTAAAGATTAGGAAATTGGGTTCCCTGAGGGAAAATGACTGACACAGTTTTCCCAGCTATAAATTAAATGGAGTTGTCTGAATGAGCATTTACAGAAGCACAAGAAAGAACCATGACCAACCACCTCACAAACTGCCACACTCTACTATTGGGTGGCTTATAATGACCTAAAAGAAGCTCAGAACACCTCTAGGCTGAGGCCTTACAGCATCCTCCCTGAATCAAACTTAAGAATGGCCTTTTCTGATATCCAAGGAGTTAGATTATATTGAGCTACATGTGTCCTGAAAGAATGTAATTCCTATGGATGTCAACAACAGCAGACAGGCCAGCAAGACTAAGTATCAAAGATTTTCTTCAGGCAATTTACTGAGCCTTTTAATTAGTCCTGGCAAAGTTCTGGGCTTGTCATAGCCACTCTGCTTCCTGTACCCCTTAGGTCTAAATCAGTGGTGCCCACTACCAACAAAGGCATTAACTGAGAGGGCATTATCCACTGGGAAAATACAAAAGGTCAAAAAGTCTCCCCAAATTCTAAATAAATTTGTATTTCACTCATCAAAACAAGTTCTATAGCTTGATGCAGTGGTATGTGAACATAGTCCCAGCTACTCGATAGGCAGGAGGATCACTTAAGCTCATGAGAACATTCTGGGTAATGTAACCAGACCACATCTTTAAAAAATAGTAAATAAATAAAAACAAGTTCTACATATTTTTTCAAACTGTAATTTTTAGAGTAGGAATACTTGTAATTCATTGGATCTAGAAAATCAAATGCTGGGAATCACTATTATAACAGTCAACAAATATAGTCAGCCTTCCATATCCATGAGTTCTACCTCCACAGATTCAACCAATCTTGCATCAAAAGTATTGGAGGTGGAAACTATTGCTCATTCCTGAGTCTTAAAATTCATTCTGTCATTGCTTTACCCCAAATAGTCATTCCTAAAAAGTATTGGGGGGGGGGGGGAAATTGTGCCCATATGAACATGCATAGACTTTTTTATTGTCATTATTCACTAATCAATACAAATAACAATTACATTTCATTTACATTGTACTAGGTATCTAGTAATCTACATATTATTTAAAACATATGGGAGGATATGCATAGAGTATATAAAAATATTATACCCTTTCATATAGGGTACTTGAACATCTGCAAATTTTTATACTGTGAGGGATCCTGGAAACAATTCCCCATGGATACTAAGAGTCAGCTATAATTAGTGTGCATTTCTATGAAGATGCATAATGGAGACAAAATAGTATGGCAAACAGAAAAGTAGATGGGAATTATGAAACCTGGCAGACATCCTCCATTACAACTATATGATATTGGGCAATTCATTGCCTCTCAAGGTCCTTAAGATTTCCTTAAGGAAGTGGTTCTCAGCATCAGTTGCACAAGGGAAATAACTTGGTTCTACACACAAATATCCTGATTTAATTGGCCTAGGTATGGCCTAAACATGGAGATTCTTTATGCCCCAAATGATTCCTGTATACAACCATACTGAGAACCACTATTGCAAGGTGAAGGAGTTATGCAAGATAAGGTACAGCACATACTAACCCATCATCATCCCTCACAGCCCTCCTCTCACACACCCACTGCAGACATCATTATTGATAGGGAGAGTTGGGGGCTCCTCCTGCTAAGCCCAGCTATTGTCTCACTCACCTCAACAGGACATCCATATAACCACCACCAATGGTCCATCACTGGCACAAGGGATAGGATCTTTTTACCATTCTTAGATTTGAGAGGTTGCATCTCTAAAATTCTTTGAGGCTGAGATTTCCTCTTTAGAGGAAAAAGGGTAGTGAGCTCATATGCTAACTCATGGAACATTAGGTGTTTCTTTGTTGATGTTTGGACATGCCACAGTGATAACACTGATGAGTGAGGAGGTACCCAGATTGAGGAACTAATCCGTGCTTATCCTGAAACTTGGCCAGTAAGTCATGTTCTACCTTCTGGAAGTCAAGGACTTTAAGGATTTACTGTGATAGTTTTAATAACCAAAGCCACCACATGCCTTCCACAGAAATTGGCTTTTCAAATGGCAGAATATCTAATCCACTCACAATAGAAAAATAATAACAATGATATGGCTGCACTCAAGTGTGTCTGAGGTACCTAAGTGAAACAACTTTCTAAGTTTGGAATTGTATTTCCTGGGGAAAATTTGGGTGTGGGGTTTTGTTGATTTTGTTTCTGGAGGAGAGGGTATGGATCATAAATGAATTTACTGCTGAGCAGATAAACAAGGGAAAGGTTTTACCTTCAGCTGCAGCATCTCACTTTGTCTTTCGGTATTCCCAGGGTATCAATACAAATAAAATATACCTGTAACAAATTATAATAATTTAATACATACACAAATAAATAAATGGTACTTTATGAAGTGACTTCTGATCAATACCTTATAATTCCTGGTAACTTATAACTATAGCTTTAAGTTATTCATTGAGCAATGAAAAAACTGTTGGCTCTCTCATTCTAAAGATCTGTAGCCCTTTTAAGACAGAAGTTTCTTTAAGAGCAGAGATTCTCAATATCCAGGTGTCAGAAATACCTCTGGAGGTAATTTCAGACCCAGTGTCTTTCCAGGTTTGATTTATTTCAAGGAAATAAAAACAGAACCAGTCAATACACCTTCCCACTAGCACACACCAAGGAAGTATCAAAACCACTCAAACACTCAGTACACTAGTTCTCAACTTTGGCTATGAGTTGCCTATGAAGCTTTGAAAGATATTAATGTCTAGTTCCCACCCTAAACCTTGGTGTAATTTGTCTTGAGGGCAGCCTGGGTGTCCGGAGTTTTAAAGTTGCCACCAGAAACTTAATGTACACCCAAAGTCAAGCACTGCAGCCTCAGTGAAACATCGCCCACATTAAAAGGAGGGATAGCTACATAGATGAGAACATGAAGTTTACCCCTTGTCTTTAGCTATTCATGCCCAGTGTTATTTGGCTGGACTAAGAATTGGGAACCAGGAGGTAGGGAATTCTGGGAGAAGACTGATAAAAAAGGAGCAAACCCATCCATAATGAACAAAAGCCACATCTCAAAGAGACAAACCCTTCACTGAGACTATTCTGGAAGGAAGCAAAGGAACTGGGTTATGGCATTTGAGAAGCAATACACAGATCCATCAGGGTCAGAAAAGATAACTTTCCCCATCTGCTCATTCATTCTGCTAAAGAGGATCCCCAAATGGGAGACAGATCCTACTCCTATAGTGAGATCAGGCAACTGCAATGAAAGAAATGAATGGGAAATTCTGGGAACTGATGATCAGCCTATTTGTTTATATTTTGCTCCTGGAACAGAGAGACCTTTGAATGTTTTCTCTGCTCAAAGCGTCTGTTTTCCACATGTCCCAAGTGCAAATAAAAGGGAAAAGAAAAAACAAAATGGACTTTTAAGAAGTACGGGCCATAAAGCCTATTGGTCAAACATCCCCTTTGCCTGGTGCCAGACATTTACCTTTCATGTAGTCACAGCAGCTTAGCGTGAAAAACACTGGCCTATAAAGATCACTTTATGGTTAACAGTCCCAAAGGCAACCTTGTTGGAATAATTTCACCATCATCTGGGAGCTGTGTTTTCCAGCCCAGCACTAAGTTAATTTAAAATAAATGACCACTTCAGTGTCTTTGTGCTATATAAGATGGGGAGTGATTTCAAGGGAAAGGTAGATGCTTAACGGAGCAGGAAAATATATACTGAACTCACACCTGTTTTATTCAAAAATTCTGGGCTTTATACAGATGTATCATTAAGTTGCAAATATAAGAGCCGAGTTCTTGCTCTGCAAACAATCCCAGATTGTGAAAGCCTTCGAGAATTTTCTTGACTTGAAAATGCATTTAATGATCTGTAAAGGGCAAAAGAAAAAATGTGGAATTCCACCTCAAATAATAATTCCCATGTTCAACACAGGGAAATAATGTATCGGTAATCATTAGGCTTCGTGTTTGTCTACATTCTCTCCAAGGAGGTTACATGATTCTATAGCAGAGAATCACCTCAAATAAATAGTTGCTCCCTAAGTTAGCTCTTTAGCTTAGCGAGAGGTTCTTCTGTTTATGCTTCTCTTTTCCTCATTTTTTCACATCTCCTGTTAGATCCCAGCTTCAGCTGAGTATAAAGTGCTGACTTTTTTTAAAAAACTTTCTCTCCCTTAATTGATTCTTTCTTCCATGCAACATATATGCATTGGCTCTCCTTACTGTCAGGGAAAAATTCAGAATAATCTTTATTGATCTGAACTGGAAACAACCCAAATATTCCATCATTGGACCTGATTCTGACCCCTTTTCAGGTCCTGAAAGCCTCCAGAGTGCCACTTGCCCGGTTTACCTCTGTGGCCATATCTCTCGAGCAACCTATTGGGCCAAATGCAATTCAATGCAGTGTGACTTTTCCTTTGTCTTTTCTTCATTGGGTTTGCTCCTAATTCTTGCCATTTCTCTGTATATAACATCAGTAAAATCAATCCTTGCTTCTCCATTCAAACCTACACTTCTAGCTGGAAGGGCAGGTCAACCTATATTCACCCTGACATGTGAGCAGTGAATGACTTGGTGACCCTCCAACCCAATATTCCTTAAATATTTGTTCAACATTTATTATGGAAGAAAAGAGGAAAACTGGTTTTTATTAATGAAATTTTATACTTTTCTATATTCAGTAATGAGGGATTAATAACTATGGTCTTTAGAACCAGAAAATATCTCAGAAAGAAACTGAACCATGTAAAGATCTGAGCAAAAAGACAAAGCACTTATTCTCAACAAAAAGTATCATATTGTATTACTGTTTCAAAATATCCAATCACTACAAATACCAACTTCCTACAATTCTCCATAGGAACTCGTCTCAGGGTCAATGGTACAGACAGCCAGAACACGCAACTTACATGTGCATGTATGTTGTAAAGATACTCAAACATGGTAGAGAGGAACATGTCTTTAATTTCAACACTAGCACATTTCCTACTTTAGTGGGAGGAGAATTAATTTATATTTAGCCAGTTATGGAAGACATCATCTGGAAGACTGAGTTCATCTGCACTATATTTCCAGAATGTTCTCATTTACATATTGGCATCTGGATAGCTTCCCAACCAGCAACTCCCTGAACTTAGCTCTGTCCTTAGCCCAAGGTCTGCTCATATTACATGAGGACTGCTACTGATTCTTCATCATTCACTTCTACTAATGAACAGAAGTTCCAGCCTCCATTTTCTCTCCCTTCAAGTAAATTCTAGTTAATCTGGTTTACCTGGTCCTGACTGCCATTCAGTCACTGAAATCCAAAATAGATTCCCTATGCTTCCGACAGTTTGTAAAGGAGGTTGTAAAGAAAACCCAGGCTCTCTGAACTAATGCACCTACCACACCTAGGGGATGTTTCTCTGGATGTGCAGTCTGGGCTTCCACAGCTACAAGCAGCAGAAAGGAGCGATCTCTGAAGGTACCTCCTGGCTCCACCTCGCCCCCTGCCCCAGGGAGATATTCGCCACTGCAAGTAATTTTTTTCAGTAGAAGCTGGTGCCGTTAAGTACCCTGCACACCAAAGTGAAAGGCGAATTATGCTAATGAAATAATAATTTCACCCATTATATGTGTATCTTGGGAGAAGAAATCATTTCCTCTTTTTAAAAGTGAGGCAAATCCATTAAGGGCCTCTCTGTGATGAGCCTACTTAGAAATAGGTCACTTGCCTCCAAAGCACAAGGAAAGACTGTGCTGCATGAATGCCCAAGAGCACACATTCTGGCCAGGACAACAAGAAGAGAATTGAGACCTAATCCTGCCTCTGACAGCTGACTGATCACCCGTGGACAGCCGCTTAGCTCCTTGAGGCCATTTCCTTATTTGTAAAAGAAGAAGAAAAATTGCAGTCAATCTACTACACTCTAGGATAGTCAGAAATAAAAGATGTACATAATATATATAATGGGGCTGGGATTGTGGCTCAGCGGTAGAGCGCTGGCCTAGCATAATATATATAAAACATGTTTATATAGATGTATATAATAAACCAACTCTGTTTTCCATATCCTACCACATTTCAGATGGGATGTCAATAAGTGAATTAAAATTAATTCTCTTTCAATCTGATCAATCTGAGGGAAAATCATTCACCTTTACTGCAAAAAGAAATGCCAAAACTGGTGGTTTTACTGAAAAGAATGTGTGTGTGTGTATGTGTGTGTGTGTGTGCGCACACACACACATGCACATGTGTGAATTTATGCTATTAAGAAACTTGCAGAAAACCTATCATGACAGCATTAACTTGTTGATTTAAAATCTCTATCCAATACACTGTTTTTCACTTTTTAAGGGAAGTTCTAACATGCCCAATTTCATCCTAATTTATTTCCCAGTTTACTCAGGCATTAACCTTACACCTCATCCTGCTTCTGCTGCTGAGACCCTTTACCAACATCCCTTCTTCCCAACTCCTCTTTTTCCCCACCCCCCCTCCACCATGGTTAAGGGAAGGACACAGGGCTGGCAGGCAGCATGGTTCCCTCAGGCCAAGGCTACCTCTGCCCATCTCCCACAGGACAGATGGATTTTCTAGCCTGATTAGTACGGCCAGAAGACATTCTTGGGATATTCTGTTATTTGGGAAGGAAGGAACAGTAACTGTGCCTTAAAGCAAGAACCCTAAGCTCTGATCCTCTCTGGGCCTGCTCTGCCTTTGTGTGCTCAGGAGCCTGGCTGCCCCCAAGGGCACAACAGTCATCCTTACTCTCTTCTATGCCAAGAACTGAGGTGGAGAGGGAGATCAAGGACCCCACAAGGCTCAGAAATCATTCTCTCACTGTGTGAATTTGTACCTTCTCTATTCCTGACACATTCCCAGCCACTTGCCTCCAAACAGCAACCAGGCCTCCTACGCCTTTTGTGGAGAAGCATATTAGAGTAGTAGTTATGGGATCAGGCTTTGGGCCCCAACTGCCTGACCATCCACTTACCGCTTTTGTTACCTCAACAATGTCTTCTCCATGTTTCAGTTTTCTCACCTGAAAAGTTGGTAGATGAATCATTGTGCTCCATTTAGAACAGTTCCTAGCACATAATAAGTAGCCCTTACGTGTTAACTCCTATTCTCATTAGTACCACTCTTTACTATTCTCTTTGAACCCATGTTACTGGGTAGGAAAGATGGCTTAGGGTGAAAAGCAGCCTCTCCTCTCTTTTCTACACATCCTTCCTTGCAACTATATGACATGTTACATTCTCAGACTGACACGTAACTTCTCTTTCCTCAATGTCCTTCCTCTATGCAGCAGCCAGAGGGCAGTGTGATCCATGGTCTG